AAATTGTCCAAAACTATCATAACGGGACACATTCTGGGAGAGACAGTACAGAAGAATCTCTCAGAAAACATTTCTACATACCAAGATTGTCCAACTTGACTCAGGCCATTGTACGTAGATGTGTAACGTGTGCTAAAAATAATGCAAGACAAGGACCAGTAAAGCCACCAGGAGTCCAGTTTATGGGGGGACTTCCCATGTCCGATTTACAAATTGACTATACAGTGATGCCTAAATCGGGTGGACATCGCTACCTGCTGGTAGTGGTGTGCACCTATTCAGGCTGGGTAGAAGCATGTCCTACTCGTACAGAGAAAGCAGGAGAAGTCGTGAGATTCCTGCTACGAGAAATAATACCCCGATATGGACTACCCTGCTCTATAGGATCGGACAATGGTCCAGCTTTTGTTCATCAGTGCCTACAACAATTGACTCATATGCTTGGTATAAAGTGGAGGCTTCATACGGCATATAGACCCCAGAGTTCTGGTAAGGTAGAGAGAATGAATAGAACTATTAAGAATCAGTTGGCTAAAATGTGTCAGGAAACCCAACTTAAGTGGAACGTTCTCTTGCCCATAGCTCTATTGCGAATCCGTAGTACACCTACCAGAAGGATGGGCCTCTCTCCTTTTGAAATCATGTACGGGCGACCACCTCCCGTGCTTGGTAACTTAAGGGGGGATTTGAGTCAGTTGGGAGAAGGAATTACCCGGCAGCAGGTTGTAGAGTTGGGTAAGACTATGGAGGAGGTACAGAAATGGGTACAAGATAGATTACCTGTGAATATTTATCCCCCAATTCATAGTTACCACCCAGGCGACCAAGTGTGGATTAAAGAGTGGAATAATGTGCCGTTAGGGCCCAAGTGGAGAGGTCCTTATGTTGTTCTTCTGTCTACCCCTACAGCGATAAAAGTAGCCGAAGTGGCTCCGTGGATACATCACTCCAGGGTTAAACCAGCAGCAGCCGATTCCTGGCAAGTTACAGCAAATCCAGAGAATCCCTGCAAAATCCGGTTAAAACGCACAACTCAGTCGGAGTGACGAGGAACCTTGTGGATCACAAATTTTATTGTTTCAGAGACTTGGTAAGTGAGTGAGAAGGCCATAATAAAGCCTGTCCACTCACCAACGAGTGTATAAGTCAGGGAAAGTCTTGAGGGGACCCCTGTGAAGACGAGCAGAACTCCATTCCCTGCAGCCCTTACATCCTGGAAGCTGAGGTGCCTTCGCACGGACGAAGACTGAGGATGACGACGAAAGATGTATTTTTAATAATGTTTATTTATGTGTATTTTTATATTCAGGAAGGTAGAGGTACCGACACTCCTAGCTGTGAGGTATGCATTAAGACTACAAGAACAGGTAACCATATATCCCAGACCCTAATTTGGCATTCGCAATATGAGTGTAAAGGAGATGTATCAAGATGTAGATACTTAAATATAGAATATAGTGTGTGTCATTTAGGAGTAGGAGAACCTAAGTGCTTCAGTCCTGAGTATCAACCCCGTACAATTTGGTTGACTCTCAGAAATGGAGATCCTCAGGGAACCCTAATTAATAAGACGGTATTAAAATCCGTATATTCTTCAGGTGCTCTGCTATTTGATGCGTGTAAAGCAATATCAAGTGGTAGAAAGCCGTGGAATGTATGTGGGGATCTTAGATGGGAGAGGACGTATGGGTCTAACGATAAATATATTTGTCCCAGTAGTAAAAATAGATATGTAAGTCCAAGATGTCCAAATAGAGATTATAACTTCTGCCCATATTGGTCTTGTGTGGGGTGGGCGACTTGGGGACAGACAGCAGACAAGGACATGATTGTGACTAAGTTGCCTACTAATCCATATTGTAAGTCTATGGAATGCAATCCAATCCATATACTTATAAATAACCCTGACAAGTTCTTAGATAAATATGGTAATTTATTTGGGTTTCAAATATATGGGACGGGTTTAGACCCTGGGACAATATTGTTTATAGGGATAGAGACTGATACGGTAACCTCCCAAACTCATCAAGTATACCATTCCTTTTATGAAGAGATGAGCATAGATAATAAGATCCCCCATAATGCTAAAAACTTGTTCATTGATTTAGCCGAGAGTATTGCCGGTAGTCTTAATGTTACCAACTGCTATGTGTGTGGAGGTACTAACATGGGAGACCAATGGCCTTGGGAAGCAAAGGAGGTAATGTCCGGTTCTAAGGCAGTTGACCAATTAATATCTATACAAGCCGACTATCATATGAGTGTTAGAGGTAAATCTGAGTGGAGATTGAAGACCTCCATCATAGGTTATGTTTGCATAGCGAGGAAAGGAATGATGTATAATACTTCTGTAGGAGAATTAACTTGTCTAGGGCAAAAAGCTTATGATGATGATACAAAGAATACAACTTGGTGGTCGGCTTCAAATGTCTCAGAACCATCTAACCCGTTTGCAAGATATGCCAATTTAAAGGACGTATGGTTTGATCTATCCATCACATCTAACTGGAGAGCCCCAGCGAATTTGTACTGGATCTGTGGTAAGAAGGCCTATTCGGAGTTACCACAGGACTGGGAAGGGGCATGTGTGTTGGGTATGTTGAAACCATCCTTCTTCTTGTTGCCTATTGAAACAGGTGAGACTTTAGGTGTTAAAGTGTATGATGTGAATCATAGGAAGAAAAGGGGACCCATAGAGATAGGTGCCTGGGAAGATAATGAATGGCCTCCCCAGCGTATTATAGATTATTATGGGCCAGCCACGTGGGCAGAGGATGGTACCTTTGGTTATAGAACCCCTATTTATATGCTCAACCGCATTATAAGGTTACAGGCGGTGGTTGAGATCATTACTAACGAGACATCACAAGCGCTCAATCTTCTAGCGAAGCATAATACCAGGATGAGGACAGCAGTCTACCAAAATAGATTAGCCTTGGATTATCTTTTGGCAGTAGAGGGAGGTGTATGTGGGAAGTTTAACCTGAGCAATTGCTGTCTTCAAATAGATGACGAAGGGCAAGCAATAGCTGAGCTTACTAGCCATATGGTTAAACTAGCGCATGTGCCTACTCAGGTATGGAAAGGGTACAATCCAAGTAGTTGGTTTGGTAGCTGGTATGAGTGGTTTGGAGGGCTTAAGGCAGTGGTAGGTGGAGTCCTACTGATTTTAATGTTGTGTCTACTCCTGCCGTGTCTTATACCCTTAGTAGTTAGGTCTGTGCAAAGCCTGATAGAAAATATAGCAGAGAGGAAGGCTGCTGCACAGATAATGGCAATTTATAAATATAAGGCTCTAGATCAGGGAGAACCAATGCAGGAAGACGAGTGTTGAAGATTCACATCATAGGATAAGTCTGGTCTGGTTCAAAGGTAACTTGTGGTGTATGCAAACCAAGGTTAAGTGATGCCTCAAGTAATTGTAAAATATCAAGAGGCATCAAAGGGGGGAATGTGGTGGAATCTCGGTAAAAATAAATTTAGTAGGCCGAGATTACCACGTGGCATGTGTACGTGCATATGCTGACGTATCGATCAGTTGGTTGCACGAGGCAAGATACGATCAGTAGTGTACGGAGCATGTGCAAGAATACAGGATGTAGTATTCCCCTCCTCCATTGTGCTGGACAAGCCATGCGGTCAAGCAGGAAGTTAATTCTTATTTGTAATGATTGGTCAAGAGAATGTGCGGGTGGAGCTTAATATGGGAGGAGTTATGTGCCTATATAGGAAGCCTGCACTATTGTTCAGGGCTCAGAACTTGCTGTATTTTTGGTGACATTAGTCCCTCTGAGTCCCGATCGGTGATCCAATAAAGAACCTCTTCCTTCCTGAAGAAACCTGTGTCCATCCCTCTGTGCTTTGCTTCCGTCAGTTTCTCCGGTATCAGACATATTTATTAGTTAATTATGAAGTAAAATTAATCTGTAAGTAAGGACCTGGATTTTAAATAAAACTAGGTGTTATTGGTCACCAGTAACGAATGACAGAGGGGGGAAGTGGGAAAGGCCAGGAAGATGAGTCTGACTGCAGACTTTATTATGGATTGTATTAAGCCGAGCTCGGGAAGAGCAGATTGCTGTAGTCCAGTTGAGAAATGATTATGGCATGGACCACTTCTTTAGCTGCATCCAGTGTTCAGTAGGAGCGAATGTGACCTGTACTTTTAAGATGGAAATTTCAGGATTTGGTGATTGATTGAAACAAATTGTCAAGTAGATAGGTAGTAGTACTTGAAGGAGGAAAGAGGGAAATTGCTGTTTTTGTCGAGAATGAGTTTAAAGGGACACTATAGTCAACCAGCCCACTTCAGCTCATTCTAATGGTCTGGGTGCAGTGTTTCTGTCTGTTTAAACCTGCAATCACTGACGGAACTACCGCGGTCGCAGGGATCACAGGCCTGTCAATCCATTGTGGTGTGGCCGCATTTAAGGGGCCTATCAGGTGGCCCATGCTCTTGGGGCCACTCGATGGCAATGGATTTCCTGGGGTCCAGTCAGCACTGTGGTGCTCTAATAGTGCGATCGGGCCCCAGTGATGATGTCAGAGGGAGGAGGCTGTAATTTCCTCCCAGCTAACAGAGCGCCCCGCGGGAGGAGACCACCGGGGAGGAGAGGAGGGAGTCAGAGTGGGAGCTCCGACTCCCATCAGCATGAGGCAACCACTAAACCCCAGGGAAGTCATTCAAAAACAGCTTAAATGGACACTGCAGGTAGCAAAACAACTCCATCTAAATTAGGTTATGGTGCCAGGAGGCCCCCGGAGCCACTCTTGCCTCAAGGGGCTAAACCGTTCTCGAATGGTTTAACCCCAAAGTTGCCTCCAGCTGCGATGTGCATTCCCCCCAGCAGCAACTTCATTTATATGGAGTTGTTTTGGTGCTTGGAGTGACCCTTTAACGCTGAATGAAAGGATGGCACCAGGGGACTCCATGCATTATAACCACTTCATTGAGATTAAGCTGTTATAGTGCCTAGAGTAGGGGTACTCAAACTCCGGCCCCCCAGATGTTGCTGAACTACAAATCCCATGATTCTCTTGCTATCTATGTAATTCAAAGAATCATGGGAGTTGTAGTTCAGCAACATCTGGGGGGCCAGAGTTTGAGGATCATTGGCCTAGAGTGTACCTCTTAAAGAAACACTCCAAACACCATCCCCATTTTAGCATACTGTAATGATTGTGGTGCTTAGTGTCCCGGCACACTCCCATAATAATTTGTCAAACTATTTTAGAACAGTTTATAACATATGTCTATCCTACCTGCTTATGTATTCTCTTTGTAGGACAATCCGGTGAACTCTGTTGAGCTAATCTGGGCCACGTTCAGAGTCTGCTGAGAATTCTCAGCAAATAAGCAAGCTCTTAGATCAGACCTGCTTAGCTCAATGAAGAAGACTTACAGAATTGGAGTGAAATGCTGCACAGTAATTGTTTCCTTTTTGTTTTTTTCTTACCATTTTCTTTCCCTTGTGCCATGTGTATCTTGAACATCTCACCCCATGCCACTTTATATTTATAATCTTATATATATATATTTGTGCTCGGAATTTAAATACGTGATGGATAGTAACTGTGAGCAAAGTTGGTTGTGGTGTGCCGAAACCAACGTACGAGTGGGCCTGTAAATAAAAGAGGGCCCACCAAGGATAATGTAGTTAAAACAGGGTGTAGGTGGGTGGGGACAATCAGCTGAGCGGCAGCGGTGAGTAGGGGCTGGGAGCTTAAGTAGGGGACTTACTCCTCCCACAAATTCAGGCCTAATGGCCTTTCTACTTGTGCTCGGAATTTAAATACGTGATGGATAGTAACTGTGAGCAAAGTTGGTTGTGGTGTGCCGAAACCAACGTACGAGTGGGCCTGTAAATAAAAGAGGGCAAAAAGATAAATTCGAGAAAATACACACTTTATTGCATTTTACAAGACCAAGTTTCTGAAAGCTTGGCGAAGCTCTTTCTCTGGTTGCGGAATATATGCGTTATATATGGAGGATTTCCATCGCCCGAGCCTTTTGATGATGTGGACCGGTGCGTTTGTGCTTGAGGCTGCTGAGGCGGCTCCTATGCGGAAGGAGTGCCCGGAGAATGCAGCCGGATTGTGTCCGAGCTTAGATAACAGGGTTCTGACATGTGACATAAATTTTGCCGTGGTAAGCGGGTGCCCTTGTAATGTTAAGAGCGGAGAGTCTGGCAGGTGAGTGCGAAAAGTTGACCGTAGTTGGTCGAGAACTTTCACCGGACACCAGGCATTATCAGTAGGGAAGAGAGGAATTATTGTAGGATGTATTGACCGGTTGGTTTTAGTGGTAGGGATAGAAAGGAGGTAGTGATCCTCTACCTTGGTGAGGTGTGAAGTTTTAAGGCATCGTGCGATATCTCCTTGACAAATCACTGTGAACTCTCTAGGTCTGAGAAAACCGTAGAAAGCGAGATATATGGCAGATTTTATCACCGTATTGGTGTAGCTATCAAATGGGGCTGTGTCAAGGAGATTGCTAAGAGACCTGAAGATAGGCCCGTCTATGGGTAATCTAGTGCTTGCGAGTGGTGGTGAAACCTTTGATATACCTTTCAAGACCTTTTTTATGGGGTATGAAGACAAAAAGGGGGTGCTGTTAGGAAAATTGGTGAGGCTGTGGTGCTGAACCCCGGTGAGGTAAAGTTTAATGGTGTTGTGTGACAGATTAAGGTGTAGGTGGCAGAAAGAGGCAAAAGACACCATGGTTTGGATAGAAAAGTCACCTTGTAGCCCGAATTCTGCAGTGAATTTGTTAAATATTTTAAGCGCCCTATTGCAAGTGATAGCAGTGTTGGGTGATAATGCTTGGTGAGTGAGTGATCTAGCGTGAAGCAAGAGTGTGCTTAATCCAATATTAGTTCGTGAAACCGTGGTGTCCTGGATGGCTGATGGTGAGCTGCTGGGAGTGCCTGAGAAAATGCCTGGAATCGAGAACGAGAAAGAGCGTCAGCGGCGGTGTTGTGAATACCCGGGATGTGAGAACATACTAAGTGAAACTGATTGGATGCTGCCAGCCAGGTCAACTTGCGAATCAGCCGCATGATGGTCAGGGATGATGAGCGCCCTTTGTTAATAATATCGCAAGCTGCCGAGTTATCTGAGTAGCATTTTACTGCCTTGCCGGACCAGAGATGACCCCAGGTGTGTGCGGCCGCCACAATGGGGTAAATTTCAAATAGGGTTGAGGTCTCCCTGAATCCTGGCAAGGCATCCGTCTCAGTGGGCCAGTGGCCCCTAAACCAGTGGTTCCCGAAAATGGCTGCGAAACCGGTGTTGGCTGCTGCGTCTGTGTGGATGATGGGTGAAGAGGTGGAGAGAGGGGGGATAAACATGGAGATACCATTCCAGTCTTTCAAAAACTTCCCCCACATAGCCAAGTCAGCCTTGGCGTGGGGGTCCAAAGAAACTGTGCCGGAGTCCGGGACTCCATGGAGCAGGCAAAGAAGTCTGGAAATAAAAGACCTTCCCTGCGGAATGATGCGCATGGCGAAGTTCAGAGATCCAAGAAGGGACTGAAGTTCTCTCCTGGTGCAAACGTCATTCCGCAGGAACGTGTCTATCTCCCCTCTCAATCGTGAAAGTTTGTCGTGTGGAAGGCTAGCTCTGAGTTTGACAGAATCGAGCTCTATGCCTAAAAAGGTCAACTTTGTTGTGGGTCCTATAGTTTTGGCTGGGGACAAAGGGACTCCAAGTGTGGAAAAAAGTGCGGTAGTACTATTGATTGCTGTGGGTGTTGATGACCCTGGCTCTATCAGTAGAAAGTCATCTAGATAGTGAATAACGGAGTGACACCTGATGACGTTCAGAAGCAGCCAGCATAGTGACTCTGCGAAAATGTCGAAAAGTTTGGGGCTGCTTCGGGAACCAAAAGTGAGTCGTGTTGAGAAGTAATAATACCCTCGCCATTTAACACCGTGTAAGTGCCAGAGTGAGGGGTGTATGGGCAGTAATTTAAAGGCGTTAGTGATGTCTGTTTTGCTGAGCCAGGGTCGATTACCAGATGTCATGATGGACTGTATGGCGTCGTCGATGGTGACGTACTGCAGAGAGAATTCGTCTGCTGGAATGAGTGCGTTTATGCTTGGAACAAAAGAGGAGTGCGGTGCCGATAAATCGATAATGAGACGTTTTTTATTAGAATATTTGTGAATAGCAATACCAATAGGGTTAGTGCGCCAGGAGGAAAACGGTGAAGAGGTGAAAGGACCGATCATGAAACCGTTTGTGGTTTCTGCGGAAATGAGAGTGTCTACAGCGACTGGGTCTAAACGTGCAGACTGGAGATTAGGACATTCTAGTGTACCTGGGGGAATGGCTATTATGCCTGTGTGAAACCCTTGTGAGAAACCTGTGGTGAGAAAATCCACTAAGTGCCTGCTGGGGTGACACCTTAGATAAAAAACCAGGTTGTCGATATTTATGTCGGTTAGTCATTTGTTTGGTGACAACCTGGCTGGACACATGGTCTTGGTATGTGCCCTGAAACATATGGAGCAGATGTGCAATAATCTACAGGCGCTGAAACTGCAGGAGCCTGCGTTGAAATTATTGCACACCTGTGCTTTACCTAAAAAGGAGATGGGCCTACCCAGCTTATCCCGGAGACCACCCGCTGGCTTGTGAGGGGTGAAAGAGGAGTGAGGTGTGAACGTGGGGTGAGGGGTGAGAGTGGAGGTGGTGGGATCTGGTTCGACGGGACATAAGTCCGCCATGTGGGATGTGGAATTACAGATGGCACAAGCCGGGGGCCTGAGTCCGGCGAAGTGGCAACAGAAAAGTTCATTGTCCATCTGACCCCAGTTCATTCTAATGTTGAACTGCTTGAGATGGGTCGCCGCCTTCGCTGAGACTGACTTGTGGTAGTCATAGAAGGAAGAGCCCCCGTACTTGATGCCTAGATCCACTACCTTGTGGAGATAGAGATCTAGCTCTTCTCTCCTATGGGGATACACCGTGCAAATGACGTCGCGGTATATCCCGAAAGCTATCACAAACTGTGGGATAGACAATTTTTTATTAAGCCTGGGATCCCTCGTTTTAAGCACAACAGAGATGTCACCATAATTGTATGCCTTGTTCTCGAGTACATCCTGAGAGGCTATGAGTAAAGACACCAGACACACATCCTTCCCGTCAAGGATATCTTTCCTGATAGAATCTGGGACGGAGTGTGCTGGTGACTCGAAAGGTGTGATGGCTGTGCCAGGTGCTGGAGGGGGGAGTATAGAGGGACATGAAGGTATGGCAGGTACAGCCGTGGTAGAGACTGGGACTACGGTGTTAGTACCTGAGGAGGAGATGGCGCTCTCCACCTTAGACAGCCTGCTATTGAGGGCCTGTAGATTGGCCAAGATATCTGCCAGGGTATCCTGGGTGGCCGTGCTGTTACTTGGTGGTTGTCCTTGAGAGCTAGTTCCCGGCCGAGGCTCGGGGACTTGGTGGGTAAGCAGCCTGTAAAGTTCTGCCTTTCTAGCTGTGGCCGGAAAGGGGATTCCCCTGAGCCTAAGCTCGGCTGTGATTTTGGGAATAGTCCATGCTCTCAAGGACGTGGGGGTTGAAAGAGTGAGTGATTCGCCTGGAGACACGGGTCTGATTGGCGTGAATGGTGCTTCTTCTGTCAGTTCTTCGGTTGGAATTGGTTCTTGGGACATTCTAAAAAGGAATGATTATGTGAAAGATATATTTAGAAGGGGAGTGAGGTAAGTAGGGGGGGGGGTATGGGGAGTGGTGTGTCTTGAAGAACTGGACTTTAATGCTAGATGCCGAGGCGAAAAACTTAACTGTTGAATGACTGGATAGGTGAGGCCCTGCTAATGCCAAGTGGCGATGAGAGGCTCTACCTATGATTTGGCTTATGACGTAGGTGCCACAGACGTGGTGGCGGGATGTTGGCCTCTCGGTGACGATAAGAGAAATCAAAACGTGTGGCCGTGACAGGTGAGGCCCTAACTAGAGCCCTGTAGTAAGGCATGCGAGGCTTATAACTATGATTTGGGCGTGGGGCCGTACCTCCGTGTTGAGGTGGGGTGGGGGTGGTAGGCCTCGCGGGATCAGATTTCCTGATAGGGTGGGCTAAGGCATTAGCCTGTGCCGTATAGCCAGTTCGATAGTATGCTAAAGGGTAAAGTTAGAGGACTGGAATGGTGTGTGGATACTAACCTTGACTGGTCGCAAATGGTATCTGGAGCCTCCTGGTAAGTGTAGAGAGTCTTGTCTTAAATGTTGTCTTTGAGGAAGAATCCTGGGGGTTTAAGACAGATGTTGATGTGTTTATACGTATCGTGATGTCGTATGAATAGTATAGGGAGAAGGTTTGTTAGGGGCACGACGTGAGATCCTGCATTGAGGGATCTGGGAGGTTTAGGTGTAGGAATGGGATGATTTTGGATATGAGTGAGAAGGCAGAATGAGGCCTTGGGGTAGCGAATGGACGTACTTGAGTAAGGATGTAAGTACCTGAAGGTATGGCTGAGTACCGTGTCAGGTTTTTGGTGTCTTCTTGAGCCTGGTGGCCGTATGACCGAAAGTCTGTGTAGACAAGTAGTAAAGAGATAACGTATCCTGGGCGTAAGCCTGAGGGAAGGTAGTAATGGAGTTGAGACCGCGTGAGGTCTAGTATTGAAAAGAGAGTGAACTATACCTTTGTTTAAAGTACAGAGATTGTTTAATCGTGGCAGGTTAACTGCGTAGAAACGGTGGAAGCTTAGATTAATACAAGGATCTAAGGGTTTAACCAAGACAAATTCCATAGTTAGCAATAGATGTGAAGATAATTGATAAAACCTGATAACTCAAGGTGATAAAACCATACCTGTTCCTGTAATAAAAGGACCTTGAAATAACAACTTTAATGCAGAAAAGCAAGAGACCGATGCAATCTGTAAAAGCCAAAAGATGTGACAGCGTGATTTATGTGCAAGGAATAATACAGATTATGTGTAAAGGGTATAACTTGTAAATAGTGTTTAACCCCTTCAGGACGGGTGACGGACGAGGTCCGTCACACAGGGGAGACCCTTAACGACGGGTGACGGACCTCGTCCGTCACGCGGTAAAATTAACCCCGGATCGCCGCTATCGCGGCGATCGCGGGGTTAATGGTGCTCCCGGTATGCCTCTGCATTGGAGGCATACCGGGAGCACCCGGTCAAGCTGCCCAGCACATGTGCTCGCTCTGACCACAAGTCGGAGCGAGCACATGTGCTCAGTATACTCACCTACCGGCTCCCTGCACTTCCGGGTTCTGTGTGAAGTGCAGGGAGCCGGATCAGTGCTGATCCTGCCCCCTGCTGGAAAAAAAAATAAAGTTTATTTAAAGTCCCCCC